CAGAACACCACGTCTCTCTCGGGCTCTTGGGATGGGATGGGTACAGTGCCTAGAAGTTGCCCACCCTGACCGAGAGTTTGTCTCCACCACTCTGCCAGCCTCGTGACTCCGTTTTATATACCAGGTTTGCGTAAACTGTGGGAGGAAGCCTAACTGGGCTGCACATCCCAGGACTGACATATAAGAAGTCCCAGGGTGGTATTCAGAATCCCGTCCAAGGATGGGCTTCCACATTTGGGCACCCCACGGACAACCAGGAAAGGCAATGTGCTGACCAGGGCCTTTGATTTTTTAATGAGCTGATGAGCATTTTTACTTCAGAACTGTACGCTTAGGAAATCAGGGTCTGAAAAAGACCCTGATGTTGGGAAAGTGTGAGGGCAAGAGGAGAAGGGGACGACAGAGGAGGAGATGGTTGGACAGTGTCATCGAAGAGACCAACATGAATTTGACCCAACTCCGGGAGGCAGTGGAAGACACGAGGGCCTGGTGTGCTCTGGTCCATGGGGTCACCAAGAGTCGGACACGACTTAACAAATAAACAACAAAACAACAAAAGCCTGCTTGGGCAGGGGTTCGACCCAATGACCTTTGGCATCCCAAATAGCTCTATAATTCTATGATTCTATATCTGGAAGTTGTTAAACTGGAAGGAAGTGGAGGAATGCAGGATTCACTCCTTCTTCTTTTCCTCTCTCTCATCTTTCCAGCGCTGAAAGAAGCCAGAAGGGAGGTCTGGAGAGCTTCTGTAAGAAGAGAATAAGAGTGGAAGAAACTTACCTGCCATTTTATCTTCTCAGTGTCGGCAGGCTTTCCTTCCACATTTCTGTTTGTGAAGCTGAAGAATGGAGGAGATGGTTCAATTGCTACCCTGAGGCCAAGGCAGCACAGAACAAAGGTAACGTTTTCTATGACAAAGTCTGGAGGAGTGGGTGACTGACGAAGGCGATTTCAGACTGGGCAAAACTGAAGGAAAGCTCCCAGACTTCAGATACAGTATTGCTTGCCAACCATTGCAGTCCTTTCCTCTCTCTCATCTTTCCAGCGCTGAAAGAAGCCAGAAGGGAGGTCTGGAGAGCTTCTGTAAGAAGAGAATAAGAGTGGAAGAAACTTACCTGCCATTTTATCTTCTCAGTGTCGGCAGGCTTTCCTTCCACATTTCTGTTTGTGAAGCTGAAGAATGGAGGAGATGGTTCAATTGCTACCCTGAGGCCAAGGCAGCACAGAACAAAGGTAACGTTTTCTATGACAAAGTCTGGAGGAGTGGGTGACTGACGAAGGCGATTTCAGACTGGGCAAAACTGAAGGAAAGCTCCCTGACTTCAGATACAGTATTGCTTGCCAACCATTGCAGTCCACCCTGTTTCAGGTGCCCCAATGGTGTTTGTTCCTAGTTTTATTCTGTAGGTGCATCTGGGTGGGAGAGACCAGAAAAGTGAGAGGAGATGACCGATCTGTGTGTGGAGTGAGCCACCTCCCAAAGAATGGCAGAGGCCTGAGCCATTCCTGGACCTTTGGCTACCTGAAGTGACTGAGAAGCCTCAGCAGTGCCACCCAAGGGCCTCGTCCCCCTCTGCTTTGTGCTTCGATCGCCAGGCTCCCTGTCTCATCCCTCCACCTCCCTCTGATACCCCTCCCTGTACAGCCTGGTTGATGGGCACTATGTGTGTGTGTGTGGTGGTGGGCAGCTGAGCAAGATGAGAGCAGTTCCCATATAGCTTAGCTAGAGCAGCCATGAGCTGCCCAGCAGGGCAGGGAGTCTGTGTTTTACTTGACATCCTAAGGGAATTGTGTCACCTGAGACATTACTGTGTTTGGTGATGAAAGACAGTCCTGATTCTGACTCAGGTTGAACAGCGGTATTAGGGACAGCCCGTGACTGGAAGCGAGATGTTCGCAACCATTGTGTGCATTGGATCAGCCTAAGAGGAGCTTATTTTCCCTATCATATAAAATAGCTTGACCGGATTAGTGGTTGGTCGTCAACATTGAAGGATGCCATTCCTTGATATCTGCGTCCTCCTTGCCAACCTGAACATGCTTTCAGCTCTAATGAGGAGCTACCACTAACATGTGTTTCCATCCTCTATGTAAAGCAGGCAGGCGGGCACATGGGAATATCATTTCCCCACTCGCTACTGACCGTGTTTTTCCCCCCAATACTAGCCCTTCAATCAGTCAGGTTCTGTTCTCCATTCTTCTTTGTGTCCCTGCAGCGGCACCTTCTTTCAGATGTTTCAACCCCCGTCATTTATGATGTAAAACCCTCCAGAGTTCTTCCTGTTTAGATGCTGCTGCTCTCTGATTGGTCTCTCAGTTTGCCCAATGAACATGCTCCACATAGCCTTTGGTATATGGCGCAGCTTTATGCAAAAACAGTTAGGGATTGCACTGCGAATTTCAGCTAGTCCTCATGAAGGCATAATTTCATTGTGAATTAGATTGCAAGGGATCCAGATCAGTTGCCTGATTTGAAAGTGGGTTCTACAAGTACATGTATGCAATAGCCATTCTCAACACTGCTGTCCTGTATATCCTTTTTCCTACGGGGGAAGTTGATGTTTAGGGAAATGGCCATAGGTATACCATAAGCTGAGCAAGGGTTCACATCCTGATATGAAGGTAGAGGATGCCATACCTCCTGGTGGACACTGCACTACCCTTGGCAATGGCTCCAATTAGTTGGGCATAGATAGCAAAACGATTAAAGGTGGTAAGCAAGGAAGAAACACCTTCTGTTTTATTTTTACAGGTGGACAGCAAATAGGTCTTCCCAAACATTCTACTGATTGATATCAAGGCTGTACTTACCTCAAAGAGAAATACACCTTTTGGTTTTAAAGCATAAAGTTAAATTTGAGATTATACCCACAAAAGCAGGGACATTCCCACCACAGATCAACATGGCCACAGCAGTGTACCTTTCTAGTACCTTAACTTCCGCCTCACAGAAACATTACAGCATATTTTGCACTGTCTTACTGGCCATCCCACACCCTGTATAATGCACAACCAGTGGTGCAGAAGATCTGAAATGAAACCCAGATGTTAATAGTTTTCCAACCTCTAGGAACAGCCGATTTGAAGTGCCGTCCTCGACACAGCTCGGTAATCAAGAGTAGTCCAGTCCATCTCTGTTTGAGGAAAATAATAATTCTTATATATAATTGACTTAGTCCTTGGTAAGCTGAGTTTTTTTTCTCTATAGTGAATCAAAAAGTAGTGAAAAGGAGGTTCTTCATTTTTATTATTTTATAATCATCATCGTCTTAGAACTGCAAAGCTTGAATGGACTCTACGGATAATAGAATCTAGTTCCTGTCAAGGAAACACAGAGGGGAACTGAACTTCTGACCTAAACCCCTAAGCTACCCAGTGATTCCTGACGAAGCGTGACAAGAACCACTTCAAAAGCCAACTGATATTTATTGAAATGCCAAAGACAGCAGTCATACAAACAATGAAAGTAAACAATATATTGGCCAAATCCTGCTGCTTAGCACAGTAAATCACACTAGAGTAGGCCTATTGAATCAACGTGGATTTAGTTAGTCAACTCCTCGGTAAGGTCCGTTGGCTCAAATGGGTCTATTCTGACTGTTACTTTGTTTGGTCGTTAAGTGGTGTCTGACCCATCATGACCCCATGGACCAGAGCACGCCTCCTATTTTCCACTGCCTCCTGGAGTTCGGTCAAAGTCATGTTGGTCACTTCAGTGACACTCCCCAACCGTCTTGTCCTCTGTCGTCCCCTTCTCCTCTTGCCTTCACACTTTCCCAACATCAGGGTCTTTTCCAGGGAGTCTTCTCTTCTCATGAGATGGCTAAAGTATTGGAGCATCAGCTTCAGGATCTGTCCT